ACTGTACTGCAGTAACGGCCAAGCACCAGTATTATACGGACTATTTTCTCTGCAGTAATAAATCAGTAGTGAAGGATGTGACTGCTCTAAATTGTTACAATATCAACAGCGATCACCGAATGATAAGAACCAAGGTAACTGTTAATACTAAGCTAGAAAGGGGGAAGATTCTCAAACAAAAGAAACAAGTTATAGATCCAAAAGCGTTGAAAGAAAATTCAGCAAGACCAGCAAGAAACTGGAAAACAAATTAAAAGGATCCCTGGATTCAGAATTTCTAAATTGCCTAGGAGAGGCTCGCTGAAACGAAGTGGCGAGTAAGTATGCAGCTCCAGTGAAGTGCCTACAACTAAAATCACCAGCGTTAAATGAGCAACTTACTAGCTTGTTGAGTTCTTTCTCCCGTAAGAACCAGAGTAAGTTGTTGGCTTGGCGAAACCAGTTAGCTCAAGCATTGACGGCCCTAGGCACAAGTTTTAGTGGGGTATTCGATACAGTTGACGAAGAGAAAAAGTTGCTACAGACGCTAGGCGATTCTGCTAGACTTGCAGATTTGCATTATAAGTTATCTATGGGCCGTAGGGCCTTCATCTAACCTGTTTTAGAGAAAGCAGCCAAAGAAATGGCTGAAAAAGCTGACTGATTCATGAGTTCCTCTATGGAAAAGGCTTAGGAGAACGCATCAAGACAAGTAAATCCCTGGAGAAAACAGGTAGACATCAAGAAAGTGACCACAACAGTGGTGACTCGACCGAAAACCAAAGAGAAATCGTTAAACTGGAAGGGGCCTCTTCGTCAGGGAAAGTCGAGAAGGCCAATGACCAAAATCTTCGTGGTTCAAATAGTGGAGACCCACAGCGTTTAGTTCGAGCGAATAGAGTGTGTGTCCGGCTTTATTTCGTGCGTTCTATAAATCGTTGTGCTTATCCTTGCTTAATTGCAAGCTATTTGAATCCAACCCCACACGCCTCCAAGTGGTGAGACCGGGAAACGTCCTTAAGGACGGCTAAAGTGTGGGATCTGTGCCAACAAGACTTGGTGCCTTGAAGAGTGTTATTTTTTAGTCGACTTTTACAGTCGGTGTGTATTTTTACTACATCCACCGGCTCCAACTCTCATTTTGTAAGTTTGCCTTACATGATGCCAGTATGTATTCGCGGCACAAACTTTGCCACCGAGGAGGGGATTAAAACTCACCTCCGTCGGTTAAGATGCAGGGGCGTCAAAATATCTAGTGACACCACCTGCACGTTCTGTCAAAAAACTTTTCTGAAATTTGCCGGCTTGAGACAGCATATTAAGCGTGCTCACCCAGTTGAGTATAACGCAGAATTAGAGGACAGATATGAGCAACCTAACACCGCTTCTGCCAGGGTCGGATCGGACGATGAGGATGAGGAGGAGCACATAAAAATGGCCAAGATAGAAGCCGCCTACAATGGTCGGTTTCCCAATGCTCACATAAGGTCATTACTCCCTCATCTTACGATCGATCAGATCAAATATCGGCGGAAGAAGGATGATTATAAGATCTTATTAGAAACTCTTCGCAAGGGCCCGCAGACTATGGACCTTGTTGAGGAGATAAACGCTGAAACCACGATACACGACGTAGGTACGCTGGATACGGCCTTTATTGTAGAGGAGGAACTGTTAACGCTAGCCGAAGTCTCTTTGTGGGCTAGGCCCACCGAAGTCTTTACCAACGGCTCTCTGAATGCCGATAATACGGAAAGCGTTCCAGTCGAAGATAGTTTTAGGAACATTCTTACAGTCCTCGCCCAAAAAACGGGGCTATACGAGGCCTTTGTATTTCTGGCAAGGCTTAGCAACCTGCCTCAATCAACTGAAAGAGGTAGGAAACTATTAGAACAGCTCGGCACTTGCATCAAATCTCTGCCCGGCCGAAGCACAGGTCAAAAGAGGCCTAAAAAGGTCCCCACGAAAACCGGGTACGACCTGGCCTCTCTCAACAGATACAAGAAGAGGGCACTGTGTTTCAAAGAGACCCAAACAGCATTCGAGAGGAATAGGGCCGAGCTTGCAAAATGTATACTGGAGGACTTACCGCTATCTCGAGAAGAGGAACGTCCGGAAGTTGAAGCAGTTGAAAGGGAGTATCGGGG